TAGAAATAATAAAGAGATCAGAGAGTGGTGAAAAATCATGCATTCATCATCCATTTGCAAAGCATATGGTTATGCTCCGTCAACAATTTCAACAATTTTAAAAGATAAGAGTAGAATAATGGAGCATGTAAAATGTAAAACATAAAAGTTAAATATGTTAAGGCAAACATGTGTCCAAGCTGCAGTTCTTATGCAAAACACCAGTTTAGAGCCTCTTGAGGTTTTTACTGCTTTCTGTAACCTTATTACAAAAAAAGCGTAATCTAATATCCTGTCGTTTGGTTAGTAGTTAGTGCTTATAAAAGTGCCTGATTCAACTTATGAACAAATTCGACTTATGAACAAACCTACAGTCCCTATCTTGTACGTAACCCGGGGACTGCCTGTATAATATATATATATATATATATATATATATATATATATATATATATATATAATATATTTACTTTTGGTTATAAAACAAATTATATATTAAAAACTCAAAAAGGTAGTCGTAAATTTGGGCCAAAATGTATTCTGCTACGTCTTTAGTAGGAAAAAAAAAAAAAAGAAGATCTCAATACATGTATATTAACTCTTTTTTGGAAAGCAGACTCCCCAAGGAATTTGCCTAGAGGCATGTTGAGTTCATGGAACAATTTATTTTTTGCCACAAATTTTTTGAAAATGACAATTTTTTTTTTTTTTTTTTAACAAAGTTGTTACTTAAAAATGGTATATTGCTCACGCATGCCATGGGTATATGTGGGATAACACCCCAAAACACATTCTGCTACTTCTCCAGAGTATGGAAATACCACATGTGAGAGACTATTTGGCAGCCTAGCCACATACATGCCCTCAAAAACCAATAACCACCTACAGGCTTTCAGAAGGCATGGCGAGTATTTTGCAGATATTTTTGTCACAGGGAATTTGAAAAAAAAAAAAAAAAAAGACAACATTTTTTTCTTTCTTTGTTTTCCAAAAACTTGTGCAAACAAAGGAGATCTACAAAATACTCACCATGCCCTTTAGCAAATACCTTGGAGTGTCTACTTTCCAAAAAGGGATCATTTTGGGGGGGGGGGGGGGGAGTGCTTCTATTATTCTGGCATTTCAGGGCCAACATTAGAAGCTTATGCCACACATCAACCCACTCTTCTAACCACTTGGAGACCAAGCCTTTTTAGACACTTTTGAAAACAGTTTTTTTTTCTAGAAAATAACTTTGAATCTCCAAACATTTTTTTTTTAAAGCACAGCCCCTAGAGCAGTGGTTCTTAACCTGGGTTCGATCGAACCCCAGGGGTTCGGTGAGTCAGTCTCGTGGGTTCGGCGGAGGTGAAGACCCACACCCGACTCATGATTCGTGCAGTAAATATTCATTATTATGTTTTTGTTTTTGTGTGAAAATCATGTTTTAATGGTTTTGTTCTTTGTTCTTAACGGTTTTGTTCATTTTGTGCACCTATGTATAAATATATACCTAAATATATACCTATGTTGTGAATTTTAAAAATCATATTTTATTTTTTTCCAATTAAGAAGGGTTCGGTGAATGCGCATATGAAACTGGTGGGGTTCAGTACCTCCAACAAGGTTAAGAGCCACTGCCCTAGAGAATAAAAAACGGGTGTTGAAATTTTTTATGTCATATAGTATTTGTACAGCGATTTTTCAACCATACATTTTTTTGTAAAAAATACACTATTTAGAATTTTAAATGCACAAGACCACAATATATTGTCCATTTGTTTGATGAAATATAAAAAGATGATGCTGCGCACGCCCATGCAACGGCAAAATATTACATACATTTTCAAATATCTATAGTTGTCGCTTTAAAAGCCTCTATAGGTCACCACTTTAGATTTACACAGGAGGTCTAGTGCTAGAATTACTGCCCTTGGATAGGACATTCGTGGCGATACCTCACATGCATGGTGCAATCTCTGTTTAAATACCACCGCAGGACCACTCCTTGCGTATGCCTTTGCGTGCAAGCACGGGGATGGGGGTGAATTTAAATTTTTTTTTTTGTTATTTTTACACTGTCCATTTAATTTTTTTTTTTTTTTGATCTTTTATGGTTATCACAGGGAATGTAAATATCCCATGCGATAGCAATAGGCAGTGACAGGTACTCTTTTCTGATAAATCTGGAGTCTATTAGACTCTAGATTTCTCCTCTGCCCTTAGCATCTGATCACACCAATCTCAGATGCTTTATCCCAATTTCAAAAGTTTTAAATTTGGAAGCCATGATAGGTTTTCCATGCAAATTGTCTGGCAAGAGGTGAATATGGGTGGGCGGCGATGTATAAATCTTCTGTGAAAAACAGCGGAGGGGCTAAACGCTACAGCTGGCAGCGAACGGGGCCGATCCTGCTAACACTGCGTTTTTGGGGACACTATACAGAGGAGTCACTAGTATAGTTCTGTTTGTGATCAATATATCGATCTGTACAAATACTATACTACTAATGGCGGTGATCAGCAACCTATAGTGTGAGTGCGATAGTGTGCGGGCAATCTAATGCTAGCTGACCCTGGCTGGGAGAGGAGCTTACATACCCTGACGCTATCTGATTTTGCTAGTGGCAGTAATACAGTGAAAAATTCTATATACTCACACTGTACTAATGTACTAATGGCACTGGCTAGGTGACGGGGTGATCAAAGTATTAAATGTGCTAATCTAATGTGTGCATGTTAAATGTAGTGCTTTTACACAGTGCTGTGTTCTCGCTTCTCTCCCTGGACAGCATAGGGGGCAGCAGGGGGGATAGAAAAATGATGCAAGATTTTGTCGCATTGACCAGAGCCGCCACTACTCATTGTTGGAAATAGAAAAATGATGCAAGATTTTGTCGCATTGACCAGAACCGCCACTACACATTGTTGGCAGACAAGCAGTAAGTAGTTTTTTTTTTTTTTTTTTAAACATTATGGTAACATTGCACTACTCTGTACTCTGGGGGGTTGATGAGGGATTTTTTTGTGTTCTTTTATGAAGGTTATTGCTCTGCAATGCAAAGCTTGCTTTGAGCGGTCATGAATGTGTTAAGTTCATGACAGTTCAATATAACAGTGATCTGTGAGTGGCTCCAGCTGGTCACATTGGCCCCATGTGCCATGTGATAGCTGTAGACCAATCACAGCTCTCCAGGAACAGAAGCAAAACTTTTATGAATCAGATGGGTTCATAAAAGCTTTGTTGTCATTGTGATCATGTGATCCCGATTACCGGGATTCTCACTCCGCCATGTCCGGTAGAGGTTTTGTGCACCCCTTCATGCGTGCAGAGCCCCCCCCCCTGTGTTGGCAAAAGACCAGCGATGTACGGGAATGTCGCTGATGTTGTAGCTGCCGCCCGTCAGTGGTTAAACTGCTGTCACCAAAACAACGATCTTTAATAGAATTCCCCTCTGCTTTTGTTCTGGTGATAACTAAAATCTTGAATTTCCATGGAATTCAGTTCGTCTCTGTGACAGTGGTCACCAGGCTAAAATGAGTTGTGATAGAATCCCCCCCAACAGAGAAACAGACAGCAATCACAACATAGGAAACAGAAAAGGTCCAATCCTTCCCTACTCTATCCAACACTAAAAAGCTTTTACATATTTTTTTTTTAGCTAGTAAGAACCTGGAAGCATCAAGGATTTTGTCACTTCCATTATCAGCTGTCACTTTCCCTGGTAAGCAACCATTTCAAACCCACCCCCATGAGATGAAAATGTCAAAGGCACCTACATACAAAAACATAAATTGCGCTATACATATACTTTGCTAGACATATTTGTTATCACTGTGAACACCAGAAAGAAAAACAATTCTACAACCAACATTCACTCTTAACCGATGACCTGTGAGGGCTTTTGGAGCATCATTCATGGAAAACGTTGTGTATCAAAGTTAGTTGCGGTGTTCACAATTTTTATGCTTGACATGTTTGACCATTTACTCAGCGCAACCTCGTCAGTTGTATTTTACAAATAGAATTTGTAATAAATTGTGCTCGTGCACACTAAAATCAAATTTAATTTATTTTTTAATGATAAAATGGGTTATATAGACTGTTGCTTTAATATTGTGTGACATAAAAACAAACTACTAGCATTTTATTCTTAAAGATCTCTGCTTTGTAAACTATGTTTACAAATGAATAAAAAGGGGAATAAGCATATTTCTTCCACCTAGTGTTTTTGTCTTCTTTATTCAATAACTGCATACTAAAAAGGTACTGAACATGCTCCTATGTATATGACTCCTGTAAGCAGCTCTGTCCATATTATGTACATTAAAGATGTGATTAGATCCTGATGGTCAAATGTCAGACTAGTAATCAAAATGTAATGACTGTTACATCGAGCTTCCTGTGTACGAGTGTGATATGTGCTTTATCACGTATTTTAAGGACTTTGGGAGGTTAACATTTATGTTCGTATAAAACTTTCTTGATGGAGATAGAATTTAATCTCTTGCATCCAGGATTCCCTGGAAGAGGTAGGACCTGGAGAGCAGTTTTTATTTTTAGGCAAATTAGCACCTTTTTATGCAGAAAAAGCCCATACCTATCTCCACAGTGTCCAATGAGTTTGATCACATTTAGCATCTGTTGCACTATTACATAAGAAACTACACAACACTGCTTTGGACATCTGAAAGACTTTAAAAATGGTAAGTAAATAGCAAATCTTGGTTTGTATTAGCAGAATGAGGCAAGCCACATATTATGCAATTTCTCCCACAGACCTATTGTGTTTTCCTGGAAGGGAGCGGTCGCTGCCAGGAGAACACAAGGATTACTGCTAGTGGCTTTAGATGCAGGCAGTAATACCGTGCTAAAAACCCGACAGGCTGGTTGTACCAGTGTCGATCTGTCAATTGACTTGTGTACAATCAGCCTGCTCACAGATGGATAAAATCTCAGACGGCTTCTGCTGAAACAGCTGATATTTGATCCATCTATGGCCAGCTTAAGCATTCTGTGCAGAAAGCCCTATCCCTCTTACCATCCCGGATGTCATTCAGCTTCTGGAACATGTATTTATATGGCTTATTCAGAGACTCCTCTTGCAGTGTGATAAGTTTTACCAAAGTGTTTCTGCCACTTCCACCATTCCATGATGTTCCCTGTACCTGTCCATAAGAGGTCACCACTTCTCCACGGTTTCCTCTGGAGCTGTACTTCTGGGATGGGGTGGCACTATGTGCAATGGGAAAAAAAAAAAAAAAAATAGGCAAAGTTGTAGACTAAATAAGTATGCTTCTAATAGCATAAATAAATGTCGACCTATCACAGTCAAAATCATAAAATGTAACCCTTTTACTGCCACTGATGTAAGGATTAAATTGGTGGCAGCACTGCAATGTAAACAAACTCCTGGTCACTATAACAAGCCAGGAGTAGGATTTTTTTTTTTTTTTTTTTTTTTTACAGTAAGCTCTCGTGCTTTTAGTAAAAGTGATTCAGGCAGCTTTAAAAACAACAGATAAAGTCTACCTCTGTGTGAAGTGTCTGAATCCCAGAAATTGACTTCACAAAGGATTGCCACATTACCTGCTGGGGCATTTGTTTATTTTTCAATTCAAACAGAATGAAGTAAAAAAAAACACCTCAGGGTGACCAAAACTCAAGGGAAAAGGGGGTGGGAAGGAAAGTACTTTTGAAGAGCCTTACCTTGGTGAAAAGCTGGATGGTGAGAAGAGAAGATGGGGGCTCCGATTTATGGAGGAGATTCGCTTTGACTGAGGATTCTCTGGAGTAGATAAATTACGTTTCTGTGACCCCTGCAGAAGATTTAAAACAGAAAAAAAAAAACTGAAGAAGATTCAAGAACTTTGAAGCAATTTGTATTAAAATGCCCTATGGAAGAAACAGGGACATTAATATGCCTCTATCTTCAGAAATATCCCCAGATTTTCATTTCTCTCAAACATATTTCTACAAGGACCTTTTATGGTCATAGGTTATATTGCTATTATGTAGGTCATGTTGTTCCTTAAGTTTATTCTTTAGTTCTTGGTAGTGACCATTTCTGCTAAAAGTTATACTAGAACACATCCAGGAAATTGATAGTAAAAAGTGCTTTTCTCCAGATTTCATTCCCATCAAGGCTCACGCTTTGAAAACCTGGGATAAAAAAAACAATACATGAGAGACCTTATGCCCCCTCATTTACCACTACAAACTATCCTTTATAATCCTTTTACCCCAAGCATCAAAAACTCACAAATATTTAGGGCTTGGTTCACCCCAAGTATAACTCAATTAAATACATTGATCAGGTATCAAAAGTTTAACCACCCAAAAGAAGAAGAAATTAAAGTTTTCTTGTACTAAATTAGTCTGCTAACTCCAAATGAAACACTACATTGTGCGTATGAATAAATGTACACCTACTTTTAATCCTTCATATACAGCCTTCAGATTCAAGCGTTAAAACAGGTCTGCAAGAGACTCACCATAAAACATACATATCACTTCCATATAACACATACACTTAGGAGGAGGAACTGGGCATATCTCTGGAGGCAGAGAGCTGGACCCAAATTAGGCAGACAACAAAATGCAATTCTCTTAAAGAGTTTGCCCTTGAGACAAAATGAAACATATACAGATGGTGTCTGGTCCCATCCAGCAAATTCACCCGGAATTCACCACCACAATGCTTCAGAGAATGCAGCGAGACTGGTACCTTTTTCATATCTGGAAGTTGTGCTTATTGGTGAGCAATCTATGGCCTAACACCTACCAAATGGTAAATGCAGGCCTACAAATCCATATTCATAAAAGACCAAGATGAGGACATATTGATCAAAAAACCTGAAGAGGTCACACATATTAAAATTTACAGTCTCACTACAACTAAAACCATAGCCATGACAGCTCAATGATAAAATGACCTTTTATAAAAAAAGACATGGGGGGGTTGATATACTAAAACTGGGGAGTGCAAAATTTGGTGCAGTTCCGCGTAGAAACCAATCAGCTTCCAAGTTTAATTTTCCAAAGCATTAGGCTCCATGTACACTGCAGTTGATAAACTCACATTTAGGAGCTTTTCTGCATTTTTTTCAGCAGCCCCTGAACTCTCCCTAATGTTTTCCTATGTGTCCATGTACACATCGTCGTTTACAGTCGTTTTTTTGAACACACCAAACTTGCATTCAGGAGTAGATTTTATCAGCGTTTCAAACGCCAAACGCTTGTAAACGCGGCTAACCACGTTTATAAGCGTTTGGAAATTTTTTTTTTTAACTCTTCCATTTCCAGATGCTGTCCAGAGTCTTTTTTCATTATGAAAAATGCATGCAAAGCATTTTCCTGGTACTCAAATGGACCTGGTACACCGTACTTTGAGGTTTCGCATGAAAGAAAATATATGTTAGACACTGCTGCAATAATTTCTGCACAGAAATGAGCTGGAACACATCCAAACACCACAAAAAAAAAAAAAAAAAAAAAAAAAAAAAAAGACAGCTAATCTCAACAAATACTGCTCTATTTCTCTCAAAACGCCTAAAATAGTTTTAATTTTTAACTGTTTTTTTTTTTTTTTTTTTTTTTTTTTTTTCAGTGCATTCTGGGCATTGGGGAAGGTCTCCTAAAGTTATTGTTAAAAACCCCTTCTAAACACAAACGCTCATAAAACGCAGTATGGAAACGCGGCTAAACAGATGTTTTTTTAACCTACGTTTTCCAGCAGTCAGTTTCCATCATTCAGAAGTGTCCCGTGTACATGGAGCCTAACTGAACAAGCTGAAGTTTTAAGCCGATTGGCTACCATGCACTGCTGAACCAGATTTTGCACTCTCCAGTTTTGGTCAGTCAACCTCATAGTCTCCATGGATCCAACATTGCCTACGCCCAGATTGTGACTGTAGTTGCCGCACTCTCTCCTTTACTGTGCCCCCGACTCCCCTTCATTTGTTCCTACTATGTATCCTATCAATATGCTATTCTCTTTTCCTGTGTTTTTTTTGTTTTTTAGCCAAAGCTCACATAGATGAAGATTGGTATAGGTGATCCTGTATTGTGACACCGTTTGGCATTATACTCAACTGCGGTTAAGAAAACTGGTTAAGATCTTCCTATCTATGCATAGAAAAAGGTGTTTTGATCCACACTGTTCAATCAAATAGCACACAAAAGCCATATTTTATACAATTTTAAATGCTCGTTCAGCTCAGAGGTGATCACTTATTCCACAGGCCACTCAGCAATGAATAGTGAAACAAATTTATGCAATTAAAACAAAATTAACTCAAAAAGGCAAAAATTGCACTACTGTCAGAGACAAGAACAAGTACACTTATCTGAACAGAACCCTTGTTTCAGTACACACATAAGGTGATGAATAAAATGTACAACTGCACATCTGTTATGTTGATATCTAACTTAGAACATTACATTCTTCTTAACCACTTCAATACCGGGCACTTTTACCCCCTTCTTGCCCAGGCCATTTTTCAGGTTTCAGCGCTCTCACACTTTGAATGACAATTGCGGTCAAGCAACATTGTACCCAAACTAAAATTTTATCATTTTGTTCACACAACTAGAGCTTTCTTTTGGTGGTATTTCCTCACCACTGGGGTTTTTATTTTTTGCTACATTTACAGAAAAAGACCACAAATTTTGGAAAAAAAACAAACAAAAAACACGTTTTTGTTATAAAAGTTTTCAAATAAATAATTGTTCTTCATAAATTTAGGCCAAGATGTATTCTGCTACATTTCTTTGGTGAAAATAACCCAAATCAGTATTTATTACTTAGTCTGTAGGAAAGTTATAGAGTTCACAAACTATGGCATATATCTGAAAATTGATCAATCCTGAAGTAATGACAGCCAATCTAATTTCTTGATGTCCAAAAATGTCAGAACAGTACAGATATCCACCAAATGACCCCTTTTTTGCAAAGTAGTCTGCATTTCATAAGAGGCATGGCAATTTTTTTAAAGTTGTAATTTTATTATAATTTTTCGGAAAATGAAGAAATTAAAAAAATGATTTTCACTATTTTTTTTTTTTTTTTACATACTGTCACCAGTGCAGTACAGCGTCAGCATATAACTGGTGTGGCAGTGATCAGGGACACTGACTGGTGACAGTACGAAAAAAATAAAATAATTTCTCTTTTTTTTTTTAATTACATTTTTTCGCTAAGATTTTTTTTCAATGACCAAAGTAGTAACATTGTACCAGTTTTACCAGTCCCTGTTCCCGCACATATATTGCGTATTCACCAGCGAAAACTGTCTTTCATTTGGAGTTCCTCTTGACCCAGAATCAGTAAACAAATCTTATTTGCTCGTAAGACCGAGGGTTGGTTATCTGTCCCAAAGCCTTCAGTCTTACTATCTGGCGGCCAATATTGCCCCCCTAGCCCATCTCCATGCATCTCACCATTTTACCTTGTGGGCTACTGTAGACTTGATGGACTCCCACCAGATTCCACTCTCTTCTTTACCATGGCTTCCTTCTACTCATCGACCCTCATCCCTTAGTCCGACGTTGACGTGAACGCTCCGTCTTTGGGACTCTATTAAATATTCTGCTGGCCTCATTTCTGCCCATCTACCATTACTACGGTTGCTACACAATCCATTATTTCCCCCAGGTCGTGATAATCCTGGACAGTTTGCTTGGTGGCAAGCAAATGGCTTCCATGATATTCATTCCATGCTCTCTCCCACTCGGATACTCGCCTTTGAAACTCTGCGCTCTTCTTACAATATCCCATTGCAGGAACATTTTGGATACCTTCAACTCTGCCACTTTATCAGTACTTTAATACAGACACGTTCGGGACCCTACAGGTTGACATCCTTTGAAAGTCAATGTAGACATAGACCCCATGCTCCAGCCTTAATTTCCCTGGTCTACGCTTCCATTATTTCTCATAGAATTCCTCCAGTCCGTTCTTATCAGCGTTGGCAGTCGGAACTTGGGGGCACTCTAGATCAGCAGGATTGGCGGATCATGACCCAACAATTATCCAAATGTTCTAGGAATGTTATTCTAGAAAACGCCTACAAGGTTCTTTATAGATGGTATTACACGCCTGCTCATCTGGCTGGTTTTATTCCCACATATTCCCCGACTTGCTTTCGAGGTTGTCAACAGAAGGGTACCATGGTCCATATTTGGTGGACTTGCCCCAAGGTGTGCGGATTGTGGATCAGAGTTTATGCCCTTCTCCGCACTATGTTCCACACAGACATTAAACGCAACCCGTACGAAGCGCTGTTATTTAAACCATTAGTGGGCCTACTTCATCCCGACCGGCAGCTGGCATCGCACTTATTCATGGCCACCAAGCTGACGATTGCGAGAGCTTGGAAGACTCCCCTCCCCAGCTTTGAGGCTGTCAAAAACCGGATGAACTTTGGTCAATAATGGTCAACGAAAAGTTGACAGCTATACTGTTAGACACCCATACAAAAATTTTTTTACAGACATAGCGTCCTTGGCTTGATATAGCTCAAACCGTCAAGATTCGACCAGTACCTAGTCGATATAAAAAACTTATATACCAGCTTATTTTTTCTCCTTTTTTATATTTTTTTTTTCTTTTCTCTGCTGCGGTCCCCCGGGAGCCCCCCCCCCCCTTTTTTTTCCTTTTTTTTTTGTTGTTGTCTGTCTTCTTTCTCTTCACTCCTTTCTTTCCTCTTGTCTAGTCTATCTTTTTCAGGTTATTTGTGCTGATTGCGATTCCTGTTTTGAGCCCCGTACCAGCAATACTCACATCACATGAATGTGCTGTCTAAACGGCCATACGGCT